TGCTGATAATTCGATCCCAAAATTCTGTTCAGGGCAGTTTGCAGGACCTTGACCTACAAAGCCGGAGGGGACGTATCCTCACCCGTAGGCTTTCAAGCTTTGAAACCTTGAATGCTTCTAAGTTTACATATGGAGCAAAGCTAGTTCTGGTTCATAAAAATTATTCTACAAGCAAAGAGATCCAAATTCCTTATGGAGATTGAGCTCAACATATTTCTAAGTAAAGTATCCTTTGAACCTGAATTAGGTTGTACTTTTTAAAAGCACCCATGAACATATGATGGGCTGGAAAGTAGAAAACAAATTATTAACATACTTTTTGCAGTTCTATATGAAATAGCTTGAAACTTGGAACCAATCTGGACAATAATTATAAATCCTGCATGAGTTTGATGTGTGGGCAAGAGGAATGTGTGGGTTACAAGGATGTCAAAATGGGTGTGTAATCTAGAGCATTTGGTGACCATTTGGAGGACTAGGTTTTTGATTATCTAATCCAGCGGTTCTCAACCTGTGGGTCGCGACCCCTTTGGCAGTTGAACGACCCTTTCACAGGGGTCGCCTATGACCATCCTGCAGGGCAGATATTTATATTACGATTCATAACAGTAGCAACATTACAGTTATGGAGTAGCAACGAAAATAATTTTATGGTTGGGTCACAACATGAGGAACTGTATTTAAAAGGCCAGAAGGTTGAGAACCACTGGTCTAATCTGTGTTGCGAAGATAGTTTCTATGACCATAGGAAATTGGTGGGGATATAAAAGTACTGATACTTGAACTTGGCACGGGAGAAAGACATTAGAATTATTTACTTTGAAATTCTGACACCCTTTCTCACCTCTTTCCACTCCAGCTCCCTAAGCCCAAAATATAATGGCACTAAAAGAAGTTCCTTAGCCAAAAATATAAGATTGATGTCTACAGACTCAATTACATAAGCCTTATTCTTTTTAGTACATATGCTCTTATTATCTATATATAAAATAGGGAATATTCTCAAAGTGGTTTATGTGATCATGAGAAAGTGAACTAACTATATCACTAAAAACAAACTCCCAAGAGTGAAATAGGGGCTGTTTATTGTGTTCAGCATGTTATATATATATTTACTAGAGACCCGATGCATGAAATTTGTGCAAGGGGCTTGGCCCTTGCAGCCCTGCTGCCTTGAGGCCCCTTCCACTGGTCAGAAGGTCATTCTGCCACCAGGTCTAATTAGCATATTAGCTCTTTATTTTATAGGATTTGGCCACAAGATGGTGCTCTAATCCCACTTCACAGTTAAGTAGTATGCAAAGTGCCATTATGTGAGACACTGCCTTTTATCTCAATACAGGAGACTACTAGTACGTATGTATGTATGTATGTATGTATGTACAGAGTATATGATTACAGTGACACATGACTTTTCTAGGCCCCTTACAGCTCTAATGAATATGTGTGCAGAAGCTAACTTCCCTCTTCCCTCTGGATGTAAAGTCGAGAATTTTATGTAAGATCCATTCATGCCAAGGTCTGGATGTGTTAGCTCTTATATTTACTGGAAAGAAGGAAAATGGCAGAGCTTCCATAGATAAAACTTTTTAAAGATTTTTTCCCCACTTCTTGCTATATTTTTTCTACTTTTATTTTATGATGGAAGAAAATGCACTGGCTGCAGTGTCCATCTTGACAGTTTGTAAAATCAGATGTGGGCATCCCTCTTATCAGGGGTCCAGCTCACAACTCCCCCAGCTGAGGGGTGCCCAGCTGGCAGCATGCTGCCCACGTCTGCATCCTTAAGCCCATTCTGTTCTCCCCTCAGCTGTCTCCAGACCTGTTTGTAAAGCCCCCTACCATTGTCCCCTAGGACCTACAACTGCAGCTCCCAACTTTGGCAATCAGAGCACTTGAAAGCCCTGGCTCTCTCTAAAGAATACCAGGTGATTGCTAAATTGAATCCCATCTTGCAAACTACGAACTTTTCCAGGAGAAAATTCATGCAATCAAAAATTATAATCACAAGCACATATGCTTCTGAAAAAAAGCAAGCCGTTTGGTGTCGGAACTGTCTGTGCTTTCACTAACACTCGCTCTCGTTCATGTACCTGACTGCCTGTCAGTGCTCACTAGCAGCAGAAGACTGAAGTTTTCAGAAAAATCTGAGAGAAAATTAATTGAGAAAATTAAAAACATTAAATTATTTCCCCTTCGGTTGAGGAAGAGCTCCATTATATGATTATTCACATCTGAGAAAATTAAAAACATTAAATTATTTCCCCTTTGGTTGAGGAAGAGCTCCATTATATGATTATTCACATCTGTTGCACATTAACATTGCAAAGAACTGATGACTTTGACCTAATGAATTTTGCGGAAGAGATGAGTAATGAGGTCTCTGACAGGTAGAGAAGGCTATTTCCAGTCAGAGGAGAAGGGGTTTGCTTGACTTTCTGACGACACTTGCTCCACGTAAGTTATAGCGTTGTCATCTCCACAGTCAGAAAATAGTACGGGCCTGGGGATATCATCAATACACAGTTTAGTTAATAAGACCAATACAGTCAAGGATAGGGGACCATCCTTAGAGTCACATGACAATGATGTCTGTAGGGGTCCTGACAACCTGTCAGTAGGACTCACTTCTTAGTCCTGGCATTGTTTTCCTGTCTAGCAAAGAAAAGCACAAGCGATATCACCCTTCTCTTTGCCTTTGGTAGCTGGGATTATAAACTTCAGACAGAGGAGGTATACTACTAAGAAATTTAAAAATTCACTTTTATTTTTCTATTTAATATTCAATTTAATCTGCAAATACTAACAATGTACCTGGTAACAATATACCATGACCTCCTGGTTCATGGGTTGATTACCACTGGGCCACACCAGCTGGGCCAGATACGCAATTTTAACGTGCCCAGTAAAATGTGACTGATTTATATTAGTGGGGAGCTGCCCACCTGTGTCACATAACAGGGCTACTCTATTGGGCAGTAATAAAAAGGTGAACTCTTCTGGTCTTTGCTGGAATGAGCAGTATTGGAGTCAAGAGCCCAGGGAGCTAGTCTTGGCCCTGCAAGTGTTTTTTTTGTCTTTTCTCTTGGACTAATGCCCATTTGGTCTTACTTTCTATCATGTAAACACACTGCAACAGTCAGATACCTCGATGTGCTAAGATTCTCTCTTCTAAAATTAAACTATGTAGAGAAATATTTATCTCTGTACCTGCTGGTACTTGGTACCCCAAAGGTAGTTGAAGGAATGAGTGAATGGAGTGCACAATTCTTGAATTACTGATTATCCTATTCTTAAACTATTTAAAGTAATATAACTGAATGGGATCAGAGAACTGGAAAACCAGTAAAACTTAACTCTAAAAGGCATTACTAACTAACTGTACCAGCATATTTGCTAGAGTACAAGTGTTCTGAGGTAACCCTTCAAAATAATTTTTTGGGGGCCCAGCCGGTGTGGCTCAGTGCTTGACATCGACCCATGAACCAGGAGGTCATGGTCAGGGCAGTGCCTGGGTTTTGGGCTCAATCCCCAGTAGGGGGCGTGCAGGAGGCAGTCGATCAATGATTCTTATCATTTGTTTCTATCCCTCTCTCTGAAATCAATAAAAACATATTTAAAAAATAATTTGTTGGCATCTAATTTTAACTAAGGAAAACAATCCCCTCTTTCTCCCTTCTGTCAAGGTTAACCAAAGTACCCAAACTTAGGCGAAGCTCAGCCCACTTGACAAATAAGAATTATAAATGGCAAATTGGTGGATTGTTGAATGTGACGTTTTAATATATAAAAAGTATAGTTCATGGGTTAGAAAAAGGTTTTTAAGTTTTGATAAAAAATATTTGAAACCATTCTGATTTAGGTAAGACTACCCAAATCTTGGAGAAATTAGTGGGAAGAAAAAACAAACAACCCGGCAACTAAAAAAATGGTAATATTAGAATTGTGACTAGTTCTCCAAAAAACCAAAACAAAAATCTTTCCATTTCACAAAATAAGTGCTCCAGCCTGTCACCCAAAACGACACATTGACACATCCACCGTTCTCTCCGATTTCCAAATTATATGAGTCCCCAGCGGCTTCTTTCTGCGCTGGCTACCAAATCCCCACGTTAGCTGGTAATACTTGGCCCTCACTTGAGTGAAAAGGCAGCTGAGATGAGAGGTGGGTTTAACGAGATAGTTCTTCCTCTGAAGGGATCTACAGATGGAAGGGGTGAAGCAGGGAATAGTGTCTGATAGCCACGTTTAGAGGAGAAAGCCAGGGGCTTTGGGTTTTCTATAGTTTACCAAAGTGCAAAGGTTTATTAGAAGAGGTTGAAGTCTTTTCAAAAGGCTCTGTTTCTTAAAAAATATATATTTTCACTGATTTCAGAGAGTAAGGGAGAGGGAGAGAGAAACATCAATGATGAGAGAGAACCATTGATTGGCTGCCTCCTGCATACCCTACACTGGGGATCAAGCCCGCAACCTGGGCATGTGCCCTGACTAGGAATTGAACCGTGACCTCCTCGTTCGTAGGTTGATGCTCAACCACTGAGGCACGCCACTCAGGCAAGTCTCTGTTTCTTGTGTTGTACTTTAAGATAGTAGACAAATAATTTTCTTTCCTTTTTTTTTTTTTTTTACTACTCATAACACTTTATTTTTACTTTGTACAAAATACAAAAATGCAAATCCAAAGAGTACAGGAGACCAGTAGCGACAGGCACACTGCACAACAGCAAACCTTGTCTAGCAAGACATTAGTTTTTAAAACTTTATTTTAGTGAATACGTGCATTATATAAAACAACAGCAACAACAACATCAAAAACACAAAGAGGCTAGAGATTTCGCTATTTCTACCCCCCAAATAATGCTTACTATCAAGACTTTGGATGAGACCAAAAAAAATTTAAAAGGCCAATAATATTTTTTTCCATAAAAATGTAAAAGCTACGATAAAATGTCTTTTCCCCCCATCACACTGATTCAATGTCTTCTGCAAAGCCATACATTAAACAAAACAAAACAAAAATCCTGAACTGGACAGTAAATACTCAAGAGGGTTGTTACCTAGGTAACCACTCAGTAGTTTAAAGACTCTTTTAAACATTTGGAAGCCCTCTAGTCATTGCTCAGTACAGGGTTCCAGCCATCCTGCCCTTTTCCCGCCTGTAACACATCTTGGAATAGAAATGCTTACATCATTGAGTCTCTGTTCCTAAGAACTAGTTTTGAAAAAGAAAGGAATGTAAAAAAATATTTAACAGAACTATGAGAGATGTAGGCAAGGAGTCTTCTCTTCATAGCAAAGTTGGGTTTGCTTTGCATGGCTTCTTCTGTAGGACCTTTCAGGGTTTGTTGATCTGCCCCATGAATAAGAAGGCACCTACAGAATTGAAAGAAAACAATGCATGACTATAAAAAACAGTTAAAAAAAATTAGATGGAAGACACATTTATGGGAAGGTCCCTGGGGTAAGTTTAAAGTTAACTGCTCTCAACAGAACTTTCTGCAATAATGGAAATGGTTTATACCTTCATGGTCCAGGATGGCAGCCATGAGTCACATGTCGCTACTGAGCTCTTGAAATATATTTATATTTCATGTAAATGAGTTAAAAGTTGAAGTGAAATAGCCACATGTGGCTAGAGATTAGGGCGCACACTAATTATGACATTGAACTTGCAATGAGACAAGAGGATAAGGAACTAGCTTATATTATTGATTTAAAAAGGGTAAGAGTTAAAATGTCTTAGTTTCTACTCTGTACCAACATGAACCCAACCTTTCCACAAAGACAATATTATTTATTCTTCAGAGTTGTACTAAGGGGTAGGTAGCAACTACTGTTACCCTTAAAGATGGAGCTAAAGTTTGAACCAATGACTCAAAGAGCCAAGATCCACTGAATTAACAAATCTTAACCGTGGAGTGGGCTTACAGAGGTTGATGGCATCTAGCTTCTTATAAAATTTTACTGCATTTATTTAAAAGAAAATCAATAGATGTTAAAAATGGCTCAAAGGGTGGCAGAGCTCTCTACATGTTAAAAACAAGATAAAACAAACAACACAAACATACAATCTTGTCCTTGTTTCAAAGATTCCATCACACTTTATAAACACAGTCTGATTTTCCTCTCTCCAATGTGTGTGGTTATATTATTTGAAGTGCTTGCGATTGTTGCCACATGGGAAATAGACTAAAAGCAGCACCATTGGATGTAACTACAAATCCACCTTTCTGAATTCTAACTTGTAACCAATGGAAGAGGAGAATCACTTACCTGTAGGATTATGTCGGATGAAAAATAGAAAAGGTCTGTCCACTATAAACCAGGGAGGAGATGACCTTGCAATTAGAATCGCAGCTGTGGGAAGAAAAGGAAACATGTTGTGCACCCAGCGTGTGGCCAGAAAGGCAGCTGGCCCCATGGAGCCTTGATGCTGGTGTTTGGGGATACACTTAATTCCTGTTCCATGGGCTGGACGTATCATGAAAGGCCCAATGGTCCCCATGTACTGAACAGCCACCATGGGCCAGGCCCTTTGCCTTTACCATCTTATTTAGTCTACACAAGTACCACCTTTAATAAAAGCACTTACTCCTTGTAGGGTTTCTATGAGGGTTAAGTGACATAAACATGTTATAGGTCTTAGCACAATGTTTGTTCACCATCATTAGTGGCTGTTTTCTATTTATTTCATCTGCCTTTCTGATGAAGGCAGCTGGTCCTTTCAGCCTATTTGAATCCCTTCTGCGTATCAAAGCCCAGCTTTGTGCTCAACCTCTGAGTCTGTGCCTCTTCCTCTGGCACGATCTAGGTTTTCCTCCCCTTGGCAACACAGACCACTCGTTGGGACCTAATGTGTTGTCCATCTCATCTTGGTGTAGACATTGGACTTAGAAAGCAAACTTCTTTAGTTCATGGTCTTAGACGTGCTTACTCTGCCATGCTTACCAACAGTGGCTTCAATTTAATAAGCCCGAGGTAGTGCCAGGTGTAACTGCCCCATGCTTGCTGCATTGACCCGGTCCTCTTGTTCAAGCCCCAGAAAGTATTAATGACTTGGGCTTGATATTACAAAGAAAACATCTGCAGCTATGTTGGGATACAGCATTCAACCCAGGGTTATTAAAAACAACTCAAGAGCAAGTGTTATGGACTAAATCGAATACCCTCAAAACATATATGCTGAAGCCTTAATCTCCATCGTGACTGTATTTGGACATAGGGCCTTTAAGGAGGCGTTTACTTAAATGAGGGCATGAAGGTAGAGCCCTAATCCAATAAAACTGGGGTCCTTATGAGAAGAGAGGGAAACACCAGGGATGAACACCCACAGAGAAAAGGCCTCTGAGTTCACAGTGAGAAGGCGGACATCCACAAGCCAAGGACAGAGGACTGAAGAGAAACCAGCCCTGCCAACACCTAGATCTTGGACTTCAGCCTCCAGAAGTGTGAGAAATGAATTTCTGTTGGACTTGTTATGGCAGCTCGAGCAAACTAATACAGCAGGGTTGGGCTTCATGAGGATTTGACCTGGGCAGTTACACAGGGCCCCACACTCACAAGGTCCCCGCATGTGGTTTAGTGACCTGCTGCTGCTATCTCAAATTCTCAATCAGTTTTGAACGAGGGGCTCCATATTTTCATTTCGCGAAGAACCCTGCAAATTATGTAGCCAGTCCTAATAGTTCTGCTGTTGGCAAAACGGGTCAATAACTTGGGCAAAACTTAGATGTCACTTATAATCACCCAGAAAAGACAGGAGGCATTTAAAAAATTCCAACCCCTCTTATTCTAGGTCTTTGTTTCAAATGCTATTTTAAAGGAATACACATTAAATGTTTATTTTAGAAAGGCAATAACGTGTCTACTGTGGGTATAAATGGTACTTTTAATGACCAGAAATACTTGACCCAGTTACAAGTGTAGCTGAGATATGATTCACTTTATGAGCTCACAGGGCTTGGTCATATCTATTCAAGCAATCTCATGTGGATAATCAAGGGGTAAAAAGGAAACAATCGAAGATTGTTCCATTTCCTCCTTCATTATATGAGCCGTCAAGGAGAAAGCAGAGGTGGATGTTCAAATGATCAAGAAAGGCTACCGCCATCCTGCTCCAATCAGCAGCTGCGAGCTAGTTCTTCACTTTGTCCTGGGTAAATCCAACTGACTCGTTTCCTGTGAGTTAAGTGCTATTATGCTATGTTTCTATCTGAAGATTTGTCTTCTCTGCTCATAGAAGCCAGAATACGCTCTGTCCTGCTAAGAGCAGGTCTGGGCACACTGCTGTGCTCAGGCCGTGTGGGGACAGATCCTGCCTTCATCAAGTTTTGTAGAAACAGCCGGGCCCTTTGGCTTGCATCATCTCTGCTGCTCTGTCGCTTCAATGGCAGAGTAGCTGCGTTGGAGCCAGTAGGGCCCACAAAGCAGAAAATACATAGTTTACAGAAAGAGTTCGTCGACTCTCGTCCTGGAGGAATTTTCTCACTGAAGTGCTTCCCTTAATGATACAGACTCAGAGGCCCATGGGCACAGGTCTTCAATCTGTCTCATTTCCCACTGTGTCCAGACAGTCACCTCACAGTCCACAAATGAGCTGGGGACGCCTGTCACCCCTCACCCCTCACCCGTCACCCCCGCACCAGGACCAGCCCCGCCAGGACCCCGGCTTACTGGTGACTGCTGAAGCTTTGGTTCCGTCTTCACTGACTTCAATTTTTGCTTTTTGCAAGATGTGAGAAATATGAAGGTTTTCTGACCCTGTTTTCAGAAAATAAGACAAAAAACAACAGCGTTTGTTTGCTATACAGACCATCTGTGTAGCTGGAAAAGGAACCTCAGCCATGGCCAATTCCAGTTCTTAAACGGTGTCAGTGGAGAAGCAACTTCTCACAGTCCCGGTGACTGAAGGCTGTAGGAGGCCTGCCACCTGCCCTGTCTGCTCAAAGAACTGGTATATCACTCAAGAGGAGGGAGTCGCAGACCCCAAATATGTTAGTGCCGCTAGCCATTCAACTCCGATCACTGAGAATTTCATAAACAATAAAAAGAGCGGAGCTGTAAAAAGGAAGCCCAGTTACCCAGAAGCAGCAAGCCAACATTATTTTTCCCTTACAAATGTCAGATCCAGGAGGGATTTCAGGTGACATTGACAGATGGGGAAACTGAGGCCCAGGGTGTTAAAAAAAGTCTGCCCTTAAGTCACATGCAAGTTAGTGGCAGAGTAGGTGCTGGCTTTTCACAAGAAAAGCCACTCATTTCGTGGGTGTATTAGTAAGAGAGGAGGGTCAAGCAGGAGACCAGTCAGACTGCTGTGAGGGCCAGACTCAGAAATGCAGTTTTGTCCCTGGAAACTTTCAGTGAATTCACTTTCCTTCTTAGCAAATCCTTACCATTCCAGCAACCCCCACTGGGGGCAGCTTTCAGGGGCAACACAAACAAAGGTTAATGGTAGCCTTGACTGGACATGGGTCAGGATGCAAAGGGAACTAGCGCTTCTTGCATCATCTGGTTTTATTTCATTTTAAATTTATCGGGGTGACATTAGTTAATAAAATTACATATTGTATTTCAGGTGTACGATTCTATAATCCACCAGCTGTACATTGTACTGTGTGCTCACCACCCCATCTGGTTTCAAATTGGCTGCACCGATGCTTGGCTCTAAATGTGACCGATGGTGAGTGAGGGGCCCCTTTGCAGGGCCACGTCACCTGCAGGGTTACACAGAAGGTCTCAGAAGAATGTGGGGAGCGTGGTCTTCCCTCTGAACACCTGTGAACTCCCTGGGGACACTATGTAGTGTTTAGGCTACATAGGATAACCCTGAAGGGGAAAGTGCATATTAAAACTGTGCTCCTCAAATGTTATTGGGCTGAGGAATTTGGTAAAGAGAAGATTCTGATTCAGTAGATCTGAGCTGGGCCCAGCATCATGTATTTCAAACAAGCTCCCAGGTGATGGGGCTGCCGCTGGACCAGGATGAGTGTCTGGCTCACAGGAGGAGACCATCAGGACAGCCATGCGCTGCAGTTTCCCCAGGAGGGTCAAGTGTGTGCCCGGGACAGGCACTCAGGTATTCACTAGCAGGCACCTGAGGCTGGTGATGAACACATGGCTTTGCATTCAAGGGGAAAAATACAAAATGGAGTGCAAGTAGTGTTTAAACCATGACTTTGCTATGGGAAGAGGTTGCTATGCCCCAAATTAAAAAAGACAAAGGACTGACCATTCACATATAGCTCCAGGAAAAGGTACCTATGTTGGCTCAGAAGGGATGTCATACCAGATGTATCTTAGAAGTTTTGGCAAAGAAAAATTCTAATCGGACTTCTTTGAATTTACATTATTTCAGATTAATGGGCATGAATTTCCAAAATACATATCTGGATATTGTGCATGCCTGCTGTTGTTTGGTGGGAATAAGTATTTGAGAGCCCAAAATATCTTGATTTTTCAAACATAGGGGACAAGTGTGCATTTGAAAAAATAACAACTAATACCTAAGTAAGGGCCAAATTTTTCGGTAATAGAGACAATACACAAAATACTTCTTTACCTGTGTAGAGTTACGTGGGCTTCACAGGAAAAGTACAAGTGAAATGCAGGGATGACTGAACTTCTAATTGAAATGATTAAGGATCAACAGCAACACTGGGCAATATATCAAATTAAACCTTGGAGAGTTTTAGGTCAACACATTTGTAATTTTGACCTTTCCTTTCTGAACAAATCAGAGACTCCATTTGTAACAAAGTCTTCAAATTTAAGAATACATTTTAAACTGAACATACTTGTTATTTTAGCAAAATTTGCCTTTGATGGGTCAAACATCTCGGTGATGCCAAGAACTTTCAGCGGCTCCTTCAGATCCATTTCTGCTGTGGCTGTGAACCTAGCATGAAAGCACAAAATAGGAGGAAAAATCACTAGGCTATGAATGATATAAAATGATATATTCAGTACCAGTGGGAAAATGTTTACAAACAGCTTCTTTTTAAGTATGCTCTGAACACCAATCTAAATTGCATTGTAAATTTTAATCCCAAGGTAATTAGAGAATAACTCATCCCTCAGACCCTCAGCTGGCATTAGCAGCACAAATAGTAACAGCAAGTGGAGGCTCTCTCATCCTCACATGCAACAGGCTCCCTGTTCCAGTCTCAGGGAGATCCACAGGAGCACCTTCTCTTGTGTGGACGGGAGATGCCGGGTGTTGACAAGTGTCTACACTCTGCAATGTCTACAGTCCTTCCCCACATCCAACCAAAGAGCCATCACCTTGGCTGCCGTAAGAGCCACCAACCTCACTGGGACTGGGGATGGTCAAAAGAGAGGAGATGCATTCCTGCTGGTTCATGGAGAGATTCTGAAAGGATCTCAGAATGTTAAAATGAGAGCAAACGTTGGGAATAGGTGTCATGGTAATGGTATTGTGTTTGGGTGTAATACTGATTTCTTGAATATGTGTAGGCTATCTGGCCTATAGCACCCACATGTCAGCTATTCAATGTGTCACCAGGGGATATTTTACCGGATTTGATCACATCCTATGGGAGAGCAACAGGGTAGATGAATGGATTCTCATCACAGATGGGTAGGAATGGCAATTAGCCATTAATTATAACTGTAATTTACCAACAACGTCACCATCTCATTCCTTTATACCAAGCATTGCCTATGTAAAGGCTTATTTTACAACAAAAAATAATCTTGGGAAGATTACTAATACTTATTATCAACGTACTTCTCTGATTTCTTAACTCAGTGACTGGAAATTAAAAGCTATTAGAACAGGAAGTTACCACCACACTGAGGTCTGGGTGGTTAAAAGCCCTAGAGACGGGCCAAACACTTATGTTAAAAAGTTCGTAAAAGGAAGACATCATTGCCCCCTTCACAATCTAGGCAAAACAAGGCGTTCTCTGACCTGTTAGAAATTCAGGATTCAGACAGAATCTGGGATGACTTTTCCCTTGGATTCAAGTCTTAACAGCCCAAATTCCATCTGTCTTATACTTTCAGGGTATAAGAGAAAAACTTCCCTAGATACTAACGTATGAATTCTGCTTGGTAGTTTCAAAATATTCCCTTACCACCTACCTTCTGGACCTTGGTCTTCAGCAACTTCCAGCTAAAACGTAAGTAACTAAAATGAAGCTCCGTATCAAAGAACAGAACGCTACTAAACTTTACTGTAATTTCATCATATTAATATGATGACATGCATGTGTTTTTCAGTTTTTTGAACAAATGAGACATGTTTGGAGCTTGGGGTTTTGTGGAGGCTCCGAGGCCATCTGCCTTCTCTCCTCCACTGTCATTAGCTGGTCATATCAGAAGCACGGGAATAACAACAAACTTTCCCACAAGCACAGCCTTGCATTCTGACCATGTGATTTCTGTACAATAAAGTGAGCTTTGTGATGGGCCAGATTTTAGCCTCGTGTTGTCTGGTATCTGGCACAGTCACCATCAAGGATTGAGCACTTCGGTTGTTTTCTCCTTCAGGGAAAGGAGCCACTTACTTGGGCAAGACGACCTGCACCCTCTTGGGCACCATCATGCTGGTCCAGCTGTCTATGGTCTTGGTGCTGATGTGAGGGATGATGGCCGAGAGAGGGGTGGAGCTCTCGCTCGGCAGCGCAATCAGCATGCTGATGCTCTCCCCGTGGTAGGGCAGTTCAATGAAGTTGTACCATAAGCCATTGGGGGTGCTTGCTGACCCTAAAGAAATCAGAGGCAGGTTCAGTAGGCCCTTGATGACTTCCAAACGTGGTGGGAGTGACCGCTGGTCACCAGGGTAGACTCAGAAGAAAGAGAGCCATGCAAAATAGCTTCCTTAGAAGGACAAAGGCACTTAGAATACAGTGCTTTGCAAGAAGTTGATCCTTATCATATGAATAAAGAAATGAATTTGAGCTGCCAGAGAAGGATTCTTTTGGCCAAGACTATGTGTGCATGTTAAAGAGAAGGAATAAACAGCTTCCATTGTTTAGGGCCCAATCTGTGCCAGCCCAAACCAACCATTTCCACACAGTTACAATCACAGTGTCCCATAAGGTAGGTATAAGAGGTCTATGTTACCACTAGGGAAGCTACCATTAGAGGAATTCGGTAACTTGCCAAGGGACACATGGCTAAGAAGTGGAGCACCAGGACTTGGGGTCAGTATGTCTAATGCCAAAGACCATCTTCTTACTTTACTACCCTGACTCCCTGCTCACTCTTCATTCATTCCAGTAACTTTCATTAGGGCTCTTAAATAATTTATGGTACTCGTGCTTACTAATAACAAACCAAGAATGACTTAATCAGTATTTGTCAAAATGTCGTGTAGAGAACTCTTACAACTTGCAAGATGCTCGGTGGACAAACTGGGTTCTGTACCCTGTAAGTTTAGGAAGCACTGGACCATTGCTTCTTGCAGAGAATATAATACCAACATTATAAAGGCTCTGAGATAGTCTGAAGAAAACTGTTTAACTCTAGTTATCCCCAGATCTCCCAAACTAAATAAACCCTTTTATCCCATGTAAAATATTCAAAACATTTAGCAACTGAGCAGCCTGCCTGAGCATCTAGGATTAGAGTGAATAAAAGTGTAGTCACGATGGGCACTGGCGAGAAGCCCAGCTCATGGGGATGGGCCCAGAGAGGCTACCAGCTCCATGGGGAAAGTCTTCGACAGAGCACTTTAGGATCCCATGGAACCTCTACATTCGGCATGTACTGAGTTATAAAAATAATGTGGTGAATGGAAAACCAGCATTTCTAGACTCATAGTGCATTTCTGAAAAGTTTTATTAAACATATCTCAAACTTTTTAAGAAGAACTCAGCAACCTTGGTGAGGTTATTTAACCTCTGTGTGCCTCTGAGCATGGAGGATGGAGACACCAGTGCAGGAGATCTAGAGTTACAGGACTTGGATTCAAATCCTGGTTCTGACATACACTAGCTCTTGGACTTGGGCAAACTCCTTATCCAGGGGTTGTTGAGATGATTAAATGTGAGAAAAAAAATACATGTAAGGGACTTAGCAGGGCCAGACCCAGGGTGGGTGCCCTCTGAGCAGGGCCCCCTCTTCCTCTTCCTCTAAATGACCTAGAAGGACACCATGTTTAAGGAAAAGAGAAAAGAGGAAGTGATTTCTCTCATGATTGCCTTTTCTTTGAGGAGGACCTTTGCCAATCACTGCACTGGAGACAGATAACCTCCACGTCAGGTCTCCACGGATGGGGGAAGGGTGGCAGAGAGACAGTGAACTTGTCTTTGTTACATAACAAACACTTTTAACTATAAAATGTGATGAAAACAGTGAAGCAATTAGAATGACTGACACTACAGGGTGACATTGCAGGTTCCTCTTAAGAAAGAAATATGTAGCAATCTGTGCATGTGCAGGCTCACGCTGGCCCGGGTTTGTCTTGGGGCTACCTATAATTCAAACATGGGACCCTCGTCTCTGCTTTTACCCTGCATACCACAATGGTCTCAGAAGAAATGGAAAAAATCCATGGGAAAGTGAGAAAAAAATCACTTCCTAATAATCCCTTTAATCCTCAAAGAAAACATTAGGTCCCTCCTCTGGCAGAGCTAATTTTTAGAAACTGAAATGTGGGAAGCAGTTAATAAATGATTACCCCAGGGCGAGGAGTAAGCACCTGGAGGTATTCATTAACCACTTCTAGAAGTGTTTAATGTTCAGATAAGGATTGGGGTCATGAATAATAAAAACTTATGAGCTGAGCGTGCTTGAGGCGAGGAGACAGCGTCTATTTCCACCCGTTAATCCAGCCTCGACTGGAGACATCATTAACTAACCATTTATATCCAGTCACTCACGTCTGCCTCATGATTCCTTTCTCCCTGGCTCTGCTCTGCTTCTGATCACAGGAGCTGATGACAAATGTCAGCTAGGATCCCTCAGAACAAACCCCTTCCATGCTTATCTTTACTTGGCAGCTTGAGGAGCCAGGAGACAAAACTAACACGTGTCCTCTCCTTCCACTCAGTCCCGAAAGCACTGCTTTCACAGTGTCGCCTTATGGAAGGCAAGCGCAGAGGTCAAAGACATGAGATCTGGAGTTATAGGACCTGGATTCAAATCCTGGCTCTGATACACACTAGCTCTTGGACTTGGGCAAATTCCTTATCCAGGTCTTAGTTTATTTACCTGTGCAATGGGATAACAGTGTCTACCTTACAGAGCTGTGAAAATGAAATGAGAATATATTTGCACACATCTACTGATGTCAGCAGTTTTGTAAAACACTTCACTTCTTAAGTGTTAGGTGGCTGCTCAAACAGTTGAAACAGAATTGATCCACCAAGAGAAACCCCACGAGCTGCAGTAGAGCACAGCTCCTGGGCAGGATGAATCAGACAGAGAAAGGGTATTTGGGAAGCTGGTGTGGGGCAGGGTCCCAGACTGCTTCCCCGTAGTGTCCTGCCTGAGGCCTGCATCCCGCAGCTCTGGGAAGCAGACTTAATGAGGATGATTTCTGGAGAACATAACAATGCGAATGAAGCAGGCTCCATTCTGAAGAGAAGGGAAGATGTGAAAAGAGAAAAGCAGCCTTTTCTCTTGATGAATGGTGATCAACCAAGCCTTTAATGAGAGATAAAAGGCAGGGAGCCAAATATTAAAAATATTAGAGATGATTTAGGACTTTCTGTCAGTGGTGCTTTGGGGATCAGCCAGTTTTTCTGGAAAGTTCCCTAAATGCTCCAATTCCTATTTGAAATCCTATAAGGGAGGAAGTAGTAGGTAAGGCTCAATGAAAGGTTAAGAACTCTTAACAGTCTGTACTATCAGAGAGAACATTTTAAATATTTAACATCAGGAAAGCCTCATAGATGAACGTTCCCCAAATTACCTTCTACTACAATTAACTATAGATTTCCTGAGTTCTGAAGGAATGGTTCAGCTATACTTCGGTAGATGTTGAAAACCCACGGCCTCTCGTCTATACTCAGGATGGAGCAAAGGGAGTTTGGGGAGAGCTGATGAGGAGGCCAGATGGTTTAAGCAGCTGGGTGAGAACTGGTGCCATTTGCTGAGCTGAGGAACACGGGGCAGAGAGAACTCGATGGGTGAGGGCCACAATGCGTTTATCTACGGAACTAGAACTTAATAGACGACCAAAGAGAAGTAAAATGAATAGGTAGGTATGAGTAGGAAGCTCAGAGGAGAGTGGACTCTAGAAATATACTCTAGATACACACACAAATATGCATATGTATTTTTGGAATTCTTTGTGGCCTTTTAAAAAAATTTCTAAGTCTAAATTCATAACCATAAACACAAGAAATGTGTAACTGCTTTGACTCAGCAATTCCTATTCAAGGGCATTACCTTTAGAAGTTCTGGCACAAGTATCTAGACATTTATGTACGAGAATGGTCCCTGCTGTGATGTGTGTTATGGGAAAAAAGTCAATGACCGTTTTTAGGATATGATGATACATTTATGCCATGGCATATAATGCAGCTGATAAAAGGATCTCATTGACATCAAAAAGTTTCCCAAGATATACTGTCTAATGAATAAAGCAGATTATAGAATAGAAATAACAGTGTAATCCTATGTATGTGGAAAAGTCTCATGGACGTATTTCAGATACCCATAGAAAAAGTCTCAAATGCTATCCCTGGCACTTAATAGGGGTTTTATCCTGGGAAATGGAATTGTAGGGGTACATTTACTTTCTGCCTTATATCTGTCCTATTTGAGGATTTTGCAATGAGCATGAAATACACTTCTACAAAAGGATTTTTCAGGCTTTTTTAATAGAAAAGTTTCTATCATCAAAAAGCTTATACTTAATGGGACAGAGTCAAGAGAATTTTCCCCTCCTCTCCTACTGTCCCCGCCCGGCCCTGGTGACGGCAGGGAGAGGGCTGGGAAGCCAGCAGCCTAACCCCTCTCCCCTCCCTTGCCCCACTAGCCAACCCAGCTGGAACCCAGAGGGCAAGGGAGACCACAGATACAGCCTCCTGGAAGCCCGAACAGGGAGGAGAAGCAAGGACACAAATCAGGGAAGAGGCCCAGTACTGTAGTCCCACAGAGAACGAACCTTTGACAATGAGAATGTATTTGTGTACTGCTTTCTGTAAAACACACACGTATATTCTGAGACAAAGCAGTTCTTAATGGAAAAGCTTCCGGGACACATTGCTTCCTCTCTGGGAATCTCCTATCTACTCAAGAAAAGTGGGTTACATTCATTCCTGTAAACACAAATATTTTAATCTTTTGGGAATGTCTGTGGAATTCCTTGCATTTTCATCTTTGACTACTGAAACATACAGTAAATGAGGTCCCCTCACTTTTTATTTTGTTAGAATGGGGAAAGTGTGCAAAGACTGGCCTTAAGATAACACAGCTGCACTTTGGCTCTGAGCTGATGGCCATGCTAGCATTCTGCTAGAGTCTTCTTGATTCCAACTTTGGGGCAAAAGAGCCTTTTCTTATCCTCAGTTGCTTCACATGAAATGTTTCTGCAGGACTTTTTAAATATATGTTATCTTTTTAAAAAGTTTACTGAGTGAATGACAACATTTTACCAAGAAGGATGATGAATAATAAATGAGAGGAAAGTGAGTTTGTTTATTGCATCCCGCATATAAAGCATTCCCTAATTTAAAGAATCGGGCAGCTAGCGAAATGTTGAACAGTGCTTGAAGCTAATTCGTACTGAATATACAAAGGAAATACTTGGAAAACACACGTCCAGGTATAGGTTGGAGATGTCAAGGCTAACTTATACAGTGAAAAGAAGAGTAATGTTAATCGGACCACCAATGCTTTGATAAAACCAGGTTTAAAATGCAACCACCAGACTCAGTTATCTATGCTGTGGTAATGGCAGCAGAAGTGGGCCATTTTTTTGTTTCCTGATTGCAAAATGGATACATATTTAAAATTTAAAATTAAAAATAAAGAAAAAGAATAATTTGAAATACCACCTCTGCTAACATTTAATTGAACATCCTCCAACACAGGTCTCTAGAGACGTATGAATATATAGCAAGTATTTTATACAAATGGGATGAATCAGCATCTGTTGCTGATTCTGAAATCAACCATATATTAGAAAGGAGCCTTGCACGTGTGAACTTACCGCTCCGGAACAGAGAGAGCTGGGCTAGCATGGGCACTTGGTAGGACTTCCCGTCAGCTGCCACAAATGGACGTTTCTTTGTGTTCTCGGGTCGAAACCGTGATTTCCACAAACCCTTAAAATACAGGGCGTTGACCAGGACCATTCTGGTGAGCACGCCGTCGATCAGGTCAGGGGAGAGCAGATTGTCGATCTTACCTGTGAGGTCACAGAACACACAAGGAAGAAACTCAGGATTGGCAGAGGCAGCTGCTGGATCAGGAGAATGGGAAAATCGAAGGGATTCTTAAATGATTTAGAAAAGCAATTTTTTTACATCACCCTTGTGTACTTTCTGATTCTTTTTCTCACTAAAAAGTAAAGCTGAAAACAAGTTAAAAATCAGAGATCGGGAAAGACTTTAGAGATCCTCTATGTAGGGATTACTGAACTTTTCATCAAGAAATTCTTTTATACCTAGTCCCTATTAGCCCCATGATTTAGAAAAATTTACTCATCCAAATAAGCTATACAGCAGTGATGGCGAACCTTTTGAGCTCAGCATGTCAGCATTTTGAAAAACCCTAACTTAACTCTGGTGCCGTGTCACATATAGAAATTTTTTGATATTTGCAACCATAGTAAAACAAAGACTTATATTTTTGATATTTATTTTATATATTTAAAATGCCATTTAACAAAGAAAAATCAACCAAAAAAAGAGTTTGTATGTCACCTCTGACACGCGTGTCATAGGTTCGCCATCACTGCTATACAGTATTTAATTATTAATTAAGTTCCCTATTTTGGCTAATAACGGACACGTGTGATGACCAGGGAGAGGTTTTGGTCAGCACAAGATAAGTAGTCGGGCTGTTTGAACCACTGAGTTGATTTAATCACAGTCAAAATAAAGGAACACTTTATCCTGCACAGTGTTAGCAAAGGTGAATGCCTAAGTTCTCGTAAGATTTTTAGAAATGTTGAGCATTGGTTTGTAATCTGTGGTTAAAGAAGAGTGGAAGTTAAAATCGCTGTCTATATTTATGGGTCAGGGATCAAGCTAGGTGCTAATATTACAGAGATGAAAAGAAGTGAGTTCTCTCCCAGAACTCCTAATTTTGAAGGAAAACGCTCTTCACCAGACGTCAAGATGTGGGGAGGGTCCACCTCGCTTGTGTCAGGAGTGAAGGAGCAGCCACTGACGTTCTGGAAGGCTCTGTGAAGCCACAGGATCCTGCAAAGTGCTACCTGGGCTTCACACTTTGGATTTTTTCATTTAGGTTCTTTTGGCTTCATATTTGAAGATTCAGCTGAGTGTGGTGTGTGTGTGTGTGTGTGTGTGTGTGTGTACATGTACAAGAGAGATCACTAATACCCAAAGCTATTAAAAATTAGTTCAATGCAGCCTTTAAAAAAAAAAAGTGCATAATATAAGTGCAAGTTATAATGTATTAAATGGCGAGTTTCTGAAGAAGCAACAATGTCTAATTCAGAAAAGAGATTTAAGTCCTTTTAAATGAAGCGCAAGAGGATTCTGATGTACAAAAAACAAACATAAAGAAATCACCAGAGAGAAGCAGACCCAGGTTTCCCGGACAGTTTCACCATTACTCCCTATTTCCACAAGGGGGCACCAACGCCACCTTACCTTAGGATCTGAAGGAAAATACATGTTTTAAATAGCCATTATTCAATACAAGGCCGGCCTCTGCCAACAGACTGTGGGAAGCAAGTTAGAGCTTTGTGCTCCAGCGATAGCAAGCTCCTTAGAGCTGGTCCCCCCATAGTGAATGTTTCCTGCCTTTGCTGGGAACATCACCCAGTGCAGCCCCTACCTGCCTTTAAAGACATAGCTCCATGGTCCCTCTTGTCCACCTTGCTGAGCCTCCCACTCATCTCCCAGGAGTTTCCATAAAGCCCGATGCTCAGCACCACCATGACATTGAGGTATTTTGTTCCAGACAAATGTAATGTGTCTGTCTCCCCCAACTGAACCACGAATTGTGCAAGAACAAGGACCCTGTCATTCATTTCCTAAAATCCTGCCTAGCTCTGTGTTCAGTGTACAGTCAGTGCTAAGTGTCTGAAGAAATCTCTTCAGCCTTTTTTTTTTTTTTGCTAAGATAAATAAAACCTCTGATCGCCACCTGTAGGACTAAGATATTGTAAGAAGACATGAAAAAAAAAATAAACAGGAAAGACAAAGAAAGGTAAGAAATGCATAGCTTAGAGGCAATGAGGCACACGAGACACCTGCCATCAGTAACTGCCATAAACATGCATCCATCGTCTATCCACGTGTCTTCCAATACACTCACCATCCACCTACCCATTCATCCTTTTTAAAAATATATATTTTGATTGATTTCAGAGAGGAAGGGAGAAGGATAGAGAGATAGAAACATTGATGATGAGAGAGAATCATTTAAAAGCTGCCTCCTGCATGCCCCACACTGGGGATTGAGCCCGAAACCTGGGCATATGCTCTGACCGGGAATTGAACTGTGACCTTCTGGTTCATAGGTCGATGCTCAACCATTGAGCGACACTGGCCTGGCCCCATCCATCCTTAGATGCCTACCTATCAGGTGCCACGTATTCTTTTAGATAAGAAAATGAAACAAACAAACAAACAAACAAACCCTGCCCTCAAAGATCTGTGTGTCCTTGAGGTGGAGGCTGACATAAGTAAACCCAGAATAGTATAAAGCTGCAGTTGTACAAGCTACCTTGAGTGAAAGCACTCAAGGATGTGAGGGCAAATAAGGGGAATCTGACCTGGTTGGCGAGGTCAGGCATGGATGGGTTCCTTGAGGAAGTATGACTTAGTTGAGCCTATGGCTATCAAAATAGCTCACGCGTGAACATTTGCTAAGTGCCAGGCACTCTGGTAAATGCTTTACCTATATTATTTTTATCCTCATAACAACCTTAACGTTGATATAGCTATTCTAGTAGTATCACTATGATATATCCATTTTATGGATGAGGGCATTGAGGCACAGGGAGGTTAAATAACGAGCCCTAGGTGACACAGCCAATAAATGGCAGAACTGAGATTCAAACTCAGAACATACTCTTTTAACTGTTATGCTCTTCATGTGACAGTGTGAAGATGAATAGGCATTAACAAGGGGAAGGGAAGTGTTCAGTAGGTTGGGGTCCTGTGATCTAAACATACGCCCCGGGTAACTCTCATGCAGGTATGTCAGGAACCACACTGAGAAACATGCCTGAAGTTCCCAAAGTTTTTTCTTTGAGCATCTTCTCTCTGTTGCATCTCTTTTGCTTCCACTCCTGTGCCCTTAACTCTCCCTTCTATGAAAAACGGTTCCCAAACCTACGTTTCTAGACTTAACTTTTCTCTGTTGTCCTGGACCTACCTCTCTTCCTGCATGTTTTCACCTGGAACTCCAGTTTACAAATGAACAGGTTTAGAACGCCAATGTCAGACTTGGCTCAGTCTCATGGGAGAAGAGACACAGGTAAACAAGTAATCATTATGCCGTGTGGCAAGTGCTATAATGAAGGACATAGAAGAGGCACAATCATATGCCCATCAGAATTGGAGAGGAGGCACCTGCTTCTTGAGAAGGACATTCCAGGCAAAGGAGACAACAGATACAAAGGCAGGAAGGAGTGAGCAGCAAAAATTTCAAAACAGACAAGGGCCAGTGCACGAGGTTTCTGGGGATGAGATGCAGTGAGGAAAGAAGAGGGTCTGCAGGGCTGTATTCTGCTCTGCTGCCCGTGCCACAGGGGAAAAAATCCCCAAGGGACACGAGTGGGGGCACGAAAAGGGAAGGAAGGCAGCCCGAGTTGTGGGCCCTGCTCAGAAAGAAAAGACAGACCAGCCAGTGGGGTCTTGGCCTTTGCCAACAGAAGGGCCACTGGACTTGCAGACACGTGTTAGGATCTTAGAGTCTAACTCACGCTTTCATTCACAAAGTGTAAAATCATACAAAATGTTGCCCAGGGAGCCGTGACCACTCACCCCTGGTTTCATTTTTAACCCACGCATTGATGGAATCACAGGCGGAGGCTGGATCCTTAAAGTTCACATTCCGGACTTCACACTGAAACACATCTTTGTTCCTGGTAATGAAAGGCACTTCGATTTTAGAGCCATTCTTCACAAACATTGCATTAGCCACCGTCACAATATCTTTATTCTTCTTGGAGACGATGGCCTTGTTGATCTTCTTTAACGTTTTACCAGCTCCTAGAGGGGAAAGGAGAAAACATGGCAGTATTTCCACAAGAATTCTGAGAAGTCATTTTTCAAAGTATCTTCTATCTTATGGCAATAACAACGGTATAAGCAAGATAATACGAGTAGTGTTCTCAGTGTCCTTGTGTTAAGAAAAGGGGGGAGGGGGTGTAATTAAATAAAGTACAACTGTTAATAGGTCTTAAAAATCGGTCATGCTTCGAGCATCAAATCAGGCACATTGAAGGCATTTTCAACACCTTTCCCATGGGGACCTCATTCTCCTGGGGGACTTTCTTGGTACCGGGTCGACAGGAAGATTGGTAAGCGCCTCAATTATGTAGCCATGGAGGGATACATGAAAGGAATCTTCCCAACCCATTCTCTTTCTCACTTAACAATCGTGACCGCTATTTCCTTTCCTGCCAAAGATTTAACAACATGATTACCTTTTTCTATTTTGGGAAGAAAAAAAAAGGAATAAAATAAGCATTTGAAAGACTATAAAAAAAATGGCCATGTGCCATCATCCACGAACAATGATTTTTACTTGATATCGAGCTCAAAAAGTAAAGGGATTAATCTTAGGGCAACATAAGCTTTATTTTACACAAGCCATCCATACATGCTCCACTCAGTTTTAGAGCATGGGAAGGAGGAGAGTAAGTTATAAGGATGCAATGTGTTTCTGTAGAGAGCTTGTATTACAGATCCTTCTCACTCACTTTGCAGAATGACACTGTCCTAAAACGCCCTGCAAGTCTTGTCACTCTGAGAGGTTTCTTTTTCTGACTCTTCAACAAAAATTTTTTTATTGATTTTATTAGAGAGAAAGAAAGGGAGAGGGAGAGAGAGAAACATTGATGAGAGGGAAACATCAATGTCGACTGGCTGCCTCCTGCATGCCCCCTACTGGGGATCGAGCCTGCAACCTGGGCAGTGCCCTGACTGGGAATTGAACCTGCAAACTCTTGGTGCATGGGATGATGCCCAACCAACCGAGCCACACCGGCCAGGCTCTTCTTCTGACCCTTTAAACCAGGGCAGGGAAGAGGTGCCCAGGCTCCATGAAGAGGTGGTGCTATGGCCTTTGTCAGGCTGGCCCATTTCATAAGTCAGGGAGCAGCAAACGTCAGAGGCCACGTCCCAGCTCTGTCCTGTTCAGCCATAAGGCCTCCTCCACAGGCCCTGGTCTCCTGCTGGGAGAAGATCAGAGCAGATCTCTCCTCTTTTGCCCCACACAGTCCTGCCTTCGTCCTCAATGAGAGCATCACTATTGTGAGTTCTCAGAGGCGGAGCTGGAAGTAAGGCCCGAACAACCACTCGGGCTCCCTGGGATCAGTGTGTCATGTCAACAGACGTCACAGAGGTTTGGGAGGAAGAAAAAGTAGGGTGGGCGGTGGGAGGTGGGGCGCTGCCCACAGGCTAATAGCCTCAAAACTTTGGAAGTACTGCTTAAAATGAGTGTGGCTCAACATTAAAACCAACAGCCAAAATCCAGCTGCTGTTTTGGAATTGGACTGGCACACAGATGGCCCTGGGAAAGGCCCTAAATTCTAGCCGTGATTCACTGTGAAGTTCTAAGCCACCAAGAGTTTCCGAACTCCCGAGCGAGGGGCAGAACAGTGTGTCCCAAGTATTATTCTTTCCCTGCTCCGACAGGTGAACAAACTGCAAACTCGTGCAGAAGGTTAACGCTGTGTCATCCGGCAGGTGGTCAGGCATTCGGTGCCGGGAGCGCTGGAGGCCACACTGAGACCATCGCCAACGGGACCCGAAGTGCACAAACCCCACCTCACTCATCTTCCTCTCCAGCTGAAGGCGTCAACTCAGTCAAAGCCAGCAGAGGTGGAGGAGCAGGGGTAGGGAAAATGGTCATTTCCCAGTAAAGTCACTAAGCGGTGAGAAGTGACTGGCTCAGGTCACAATGCCTTGAAGGCTCTGAAGCTGGCCCTGCACCTGGCCCCCGGCAGCGTGGAGGAGGCAGGTAACCCTGGTGAGAAAACTCGAGCTAAAGCAAAACGACAGTGCTGAGACATGGGAGCTCTAGGTTAGGTTTAAGTCGGTTGTTAAAAACAGGTAAAGAAAACTATGCTTTTTCCAAGAACTGGGCCTCACTTAAAAAAATTTTTTTGGAGCCTTTTATTTTGAAATAATTATAACTTCACAGGAAGTTGCAAAACAGTGAATAGGGTGGTCTCACATACCTTTCACCCAGTTTCTCCATTTGTGACATTATGTATGGCAATGCCACCACCAGGAACTTGCCATTGGGATGGTCCACAGAGCGCATTCAGGTGGCAGTGTTTGTGTGTGTGTGTGTGTGTGTGTGTCTTTATGCAATTTTATCCCCCAGGTAGATTCACGTGTCCATCACCCCAGTCAAGACACAGAAGGGTCCCATCACCATAAGACTCCTCGTGCTGCCCTCCATGGCCACGCACAACCCACCTTCCCAGTTGACATTTTTAAAAGTGCATTCACAGCCATAAGGCATTTTTAGCCCTGTACCCCATGAAGGTGGGGCCGATGGGCAGTTTCTCTTCAGAGATGAGAAAACTGAGAGATTGAGGGTTTGACCCAAAGCCCCATAGCTATAGGCTAGAATCCAGCTCTCCTAACTTCCAGCACCACAGCACCTGTGCTTTAGAGCAGAGGGCTTAAGCCCCGGAGGGCACCAGGGCTGCTCTGCTGGCTTCTGGGGCTTTAAGAGAAGACCCAGCAAGGGATCCCCAGACTCCTCTCAGGCCCTGCGGCCAGAGCCCACAGCACTCACCTTTCACGCCGTATCTCATCACGGAGGTGAGCTGCGCCTTGGTTCGGCCATCGGCTCCCAGCTGCAGCATCCCCAGCACAGACGCGATCCCATGGGGGGAGACGACGATGTTGTCCTGAGGCCTGGACTTGACAATCTGGTGGAAAACTTGGATCCCTATGTCAGAGCCTAGTTCCTCCAGAGGCTGAGGATTAAACTGGAGGCACACGGAGGGCAAAGTCACTGTGACCACGAGGAAGAGGGGGAAATGCCAAGACATGGTTCCTGCTGGCAAGGCCAACCTGAAAATTAGATTAGAAAAAGATCATTTAAATGCTACTGAAATGGGCACTTTGGGGGACTACTTTGTACTCAACCTGATGTGATTTACCTTACCCAGTATAACTGAATACCTTCTTAATAAAGTTAAGAACAGCACAGATTACATTGGTTTTGACTGTATGTTGTTAGGGGGATGGGAAGGGACAAGAAGGGAACTTCTGCTTGGTGCGTCCCAACTAAGCGCCAGACACTATTCTAATTGTTATTTATTACTCACAGCCACTGTCCAGCCAATTAAACCAGTGATTCCCAAAGTGGGCGCTACCGCCCCCTGGTGGGCGCTGCAGCGATCCAGGGGGGCGGTGATGGCCACAGGTGCATTTGAGGGCATATATCTTTCTGTTTAATTGCTATTAAAATTTAAAAAAAAATTAATTTCCAGGGGGCGCTGAGTAATATTTTTTCTGGAAAGGGGGCGGTAGGCCAAATAAGTTTGGGAACCACTGAATTAAACCAACATTTACTGAGTGCTGACTGTGTGTCAGGCCCTCATCTAAGCGCTGGGCATTCAACTGTAAAAAAGGTCGGCAAGACCCCTGCTCTCATGGAGTTTCCATTCCAGAGGGAGACAGAAAGTAAACCAGGAAGCAATAAAGGAGTCAGAGAGGGATCAGGGCAGGGACAAGAAAACAGTGATGCCAGCAAATGACAGGCTGGTGTGGGCAACATTAGACAGGGCCGTTATCCGAAGAGCCTCCTCTGCAGAGGGAACACAGGTGGCGAAGCCTGAACAATGAGAGACCCAGCAGGGCAATGAGCAGGGTGCGTAGGGCCTGTCAGGCAGGCGGATGGCAGGGCAGAGGCCCTGAGGTGGGAACACACCTGGTGGTGGAGGTCGGGGTGGCTGAGACATAAAGAACTTGGAGGTGAAAAGAAGGAGGGGCAGGTCCTGAGGGGCCTGCAGAGCCTGACCCGGCTCTTGGATTTCATTCTAAGGTAGAAACCACTCACATGGCTGTGATTATCATATAACTATACACCATATACCTGATTTTCTCACATGAACATATTCCTTTCTTAATTAAAGAATTGTTGATTAAAATAAATTTAAGGGACATCCTTAAATCTACAATGGGGCAGGTCTTCTCGATACGGTGATTTTATTACACGGATATTCTCAATGATGGTGATTTTATTAAATGTGCTTTCTTCCTTGATTACCCTTTACTGAGCTCTCTTGCACCGTGAAAAATGAGGAGTGGTACATATGTTTATGGAAAAGCAAATGCTTCCATTCAATAAGAACCTCAAAGTGGCAGCCAGTAAAACAAAAGCAAAAATCGTGATATGGCTAATTTGGTTCCTCTCTCTGGACTGAAGCTCCTGCTAAGCACAAGCTTCCCACGAGGAGGTGGGGAGTGTCTGCAGAGAACAAGAGAGGGGGAGCCTCTTAGGAGATAGGTGCCAGGAGTGAAGGGGAAGTTAGGTCTCTGTGCTCCAGGGAAAAGAAGGGGCACTGGGCCCATCAGTAGACGAGTGGATAAAAAAGCTTGGTACATGAAGACAATGGAATATTACTCGCCATAAAAAAGAATAAAATCCTACCTTTTGCAACAGCATGGATGAACCTAGAGAGTATTATACTAAGTGAAATAAGTCAGACAGAGAAAGACAAATGCCATACAATTTCACTTATATGTAGAAACTAAAGAACCAAATAAACAAAAAATAAAACAGAAACAGACTCGCCCTAGCCGGTTTGGCTCAGTGGACAGAGTGTTGGCCCACGGGCTGAAGGGTCCCAGGTTCCATTCCCAGTCAAGGGCATGTACCTTGATTGCAGGCTCGAGCCCCGGCCCTGGTCGGGGTGCATGCAGGAGGCAAACAATCAATGTGTCTCTCTCACATGGATGTTTTTCTCTCTCTCTCTGTCTTTCCCCCTCCCTCCCAATCTCTCTAAAAATCAATGAAAAAATATCTTTGGGTGACGATGAAAAGAAACAAACAAATAAACAAACAAAAAAACTGAGACAGACTCACAGATACAGAAAACAGACTGATGTTCGCCAGAGGGAAGGAGGTTGGGGGGCTGGATGAAAAAGATGAAAGAATTGAGTATAGAACAGTCACAGAGATGTAAATTACAGCATAGGGAATATACTGGTAGTCAATAACATTGTAATAACTATGTATTGGGCCAGGTGGGTACTTAAAATATTGGAGGGAAGGGACCACACTATAAAACACACGATTTTCTAACCACTATGCAGAATAATACTGAATGTAAACTGTAATTGAAAAATAAAAAAGTCTTAGAGCTAAAAAGGGCTTTAGAGATAGAGAGAAAAAAAAGAAAGAAAGAAAGAAAGGAAGGAAAATTTACAACAAGCTGAGAAAAAAGCGCACCCCCCACCCCCTCACCCGTCAGTTGGCCTCTCGCTTTCCTCCCAACAATGTCTGGGTTTCCCTCAAAGCTACCAAGTGCTAATTTGAAAAATATGTTGCCGACAAGTGGGAGAAAAGCAGGCATCCAACGTGAAATGCCCTCTGGGGCAGGGAGGGAGGAGGGAGGGAGGGAGGGAGGGAAGGAATAAATTAGGGCAGCATTAGGCAAACCAGCATTTGGTGTTTCCTCACTTTCCTTTCTATGCGTGTGTCTCCTTCACCTCTAGATCATAGTAGATGGTCAATAAATACATGTGGGGTTAAACCTGCTGGCTTACATACTTCCTATTTTTCTAATTATTTTTCATGGCATCAAAATCATATTTATTGAGTGTGACTGGGAAAATGATTGTGTTGAGTAACTGTTAGCGCCCAAAACTTTCCAAGGAGGGTAAATTCTTTGGGGTGGAAGAGGGCTGGCAGCCAGAGATCCCGCCTACCACCCCCACATATAGGGCCACAAGGTGAACACCCAGGCCATCATTCAAGGTGATGTTGCAATTTTTTTCACACATTTTAAGAAATTTAGAGCATTCAGAGTTTCTCCAGAGCTTCACAGTAAAATAATTGCATAAAGGCAGCCTGTCTACATTCAAAACAGCGAATTGACCTACATACGCTCCTTCTGGGGGCTTTCCTATGGCCAGAGTGGCCTACTTTAACTTTGGCTCCTAGGACTGGCTCTAATACCACTACAATCCCGAGTTTCTCTCCGCCTGTTGGACATTGGGGAGCTTCCAAATCCTGATTATGGAAGCTTTGCTCATTTTATCTAAAAATTAGACACTTTGTCCTCCCTCCTTCCCTCCCTCCCTCCCTCCCTCCCTCCCTCCTTTCTTTTTCTTTCTTTCTTTCTTTCTTTCTTTCTTTCTTTCTTTCTTTCTTTCTTTCTTTCTTTTCTTTCTTTCTTTCCTTCTTTCCTTCCTTCCTTCCTTCCTTCCTTCCTTCCTTCCTTCCTTCCTTCCTTCCTTCCTTCCTTCCTTCCTTCCTTCCTTCCTTCCTTCCTTCCTTCCTTCCTTCCTTCCTTCCTTCCTTCCTTCCTTCCTTCCTTCCTTCCTTCCTTCCTTCCTTCCTTCCTTCCTTCCTTCCTTCCTTCCTTCCTTCCTTCCTTCCTTCCTTCCTTCCTTCCTTCCTTCCTTCCTTCCTTCCTTCCTTCCTTCCTTCCTTCCTTCCTTCCTTCCTTCCTTCCTTCCTTCCTTCCTTCCTTCCTTCCTTCCTTCCTTCCTTCCTTCCTTCCTTCCTTCCTTCCTTCCTTCCTTCCTTCCTTCCTTCCTTCCTTCCTTCCTTCCTTCCTTCCTTCCTTCCTTCCTTCCTTCCTTCCTTCCTTCCTTCCTTCCTTCCTTCCTTCCTTCCTTCCTTCCTTCCTTCCTTCCTTCCTTCCTTCCTTCCTTCCTTCCTTCCTTCCTTCCTTCCTTCCTTCCTTCCTTCCTTCCTTCCTTCCTTCCTTCCTTCCTTCCTTCCTTCCTTCCTTCCTCCCGCCTGGTCCCCCAATATTCCCAAATTATCTCGTGTCTTTTCTTTTTCATTTGTGTGAGGCTCTTCTTCCAGATCCTGAACCCTGAACCACACGGGACATGGATGGAAACATTTACAACAAAACCCATGCTAAGTATAAAACAGTTTGTACAATCCTGGTTACAAATGGTCAAATTCGGTGACTGGCGCCAACTTCATCAATCTAAATTGTTGACCCTTGCATTGTAATCTATTCTGGCTTCCACCTTCAGCATGCCATCGAATTTATACACCCAAGCCTCCCAAAGAAATCCTCCTGGATTAGCAAAATTGGAATAAATGTTTGAATCTGCACACTCATAAAGGACATCAAATTGGGTTTGCCTCTGATTGCTTACAGTTGATTCACTTAAATGTTATGGATTTCTGTAGAAGATTGTAAAACGGGTATAAAGGATCAGTAACAGATGGAAATTTAACAGCTCCAACATCTCAGAGTCAACAAAGACAATCTTCCGAATAAATTGCCATCTTATTTAGCATCATTTTGCTCGGTTATGAATTTTTTTCTAAAAGAACAGTTCCATTATGAAGTGGGGGAAGGCTGCCATCGGTATTTTGCTTGGTTTCTTGGATTTGGGACTTCTGGGAGATGACAGTGCCGCAGGACAGTGTCAGAGCTGTGCAGAACTTGGAATCAGAGCTATTTTTGATTGATATTCTGGGCATCACTTCTTGGCCTCCGTTTCCTAGGCTAAATGCTCACTCGTCTGAACTCACCTGGCATATGTACATGTCTGAGACCAAGCTTTTACTTCTCTCCAAAGTTCTGTAGCCAGGAGAGTGGATATTGATGCACGAATACTTTAGGCTTATAAAATTCCTACTACAGATACCTATTCATGTCCAAATAGACAATCTTTTACATGGAATAACTGGTTGAAGTTCAGGCTTTGAAATTCTTAGCCTCTAGAGGACAAGGAGATTCTCATTATGGGAAGAACATAGTAACCTCCTGTTTATTTTTAAAAGAAATTACACTTTAAACTTTCAAGTAAGAGAGAAAGAATAAAGATGTTGCTCAACTGTATTACATAGCATCCATGTTTCCATTTCTTGAGTATTCTTTTCATAACAGTAAAGAAAAAGATTAAGTTTAAGTCATCAATGGAGGAAGATCATAAACCTGTAAATAAAGCCATGGTTATAGGCATGTCCTTCCAAATGTGGGTTTCTCCTTCCCCACAAACTTTTAGTTTCTCTTCCTCCAAATCTTTCCTTCTCTGTGTGGGGAATGTTTTTGATATAACTGGGTACTGCTTTGAGTTTTAAATGAGATTTAGTGTAGTGAATAACCATTGGTAGTTTTGCAGATGCCAGACTCCTGGCGCAACCCTATGTCTATAAATGCACCACCTGTCAATGGTAGGCAGAGCACCACTCCCATAGAACCCATGACTTCAATCGTCACTTCTACCAGATGATGCTCAAATCTGTAGTTCAAATCCTCAGCTGAATTTCAGTGCTATACTTCCAACTGTTTGCTGCATATTTTCACCTGATTGCTCAGAACAATATCTTGGCCTGTGAAATCTACCAACCCTTATAGGGTGGTACGTCTTGTTGCTAGTCCTTGGTCTTGCTCACATCCAGGCCTTTGCTTCTCTCCCTTACCCTCTACCTACTAAGCACCAGAGTTCTCCCAACTCCGTCCATGGCCTGTGGGAGGTTTCCCTGATTGCCCAGATAGGGCTATTCACGCTCTTCTGGGAATTCCCATAGCATTTCCTATCTGCACTCTCATTTTGTTTTTTCAAGTATTTTTTTTCCTGCCAACTAGACTGAAAGCTCACAGAGAGCAGGGCTATGGGACTTTAGAATCCTAGTGCCCACAGGGTCTTATTCAGGGCCCTACCATTGGTAGATACTAAACCAGAGGTTGACTCATGGGACTTGCAGCTGCTCCAGCTGTTTGGTTTGGAATACACGGCGTTATAAAAATATTTAAGCAATTAAAAGTTAGAAAATGTCACATACCATCTAGATTTAGAGTTATTCTCAGGAAAAACGAAAATGAATGGGAGTTCCAGTAACTCGGAGTTCTCATTCCTCAGGCAAACATCCTGCACAGCAACCACTCCTCAGGGCTGGGTGCTTGCTTTCCTATAAGCCTCAGCTCCCTTCACTCCCTGTTACCATCACTGAAGACATCCCTCTAGGTTGGGAAAGCACTGTGGCCAGACCCCTGCCCTGAATGCCACTCTATTGACCAATGAGAGACTAGGAGAGCCAGTCACAAAAGAACCTTAGTTTCAACCTAATAAATTCTTGTCTACAAAATAAAATAAATTTTATATGTGACATATGAGCTAATGAGATATCTGTCAGCTCTATTTACTATAACAAATAAGATGTAAACAGTTTGGGGAGAAAAAACACTAGAAAGACTCTTCAGGCTCCAACTCTTAGCCAGATGACTCACATCTGTTTTAGGCGGCCCAAGGGTGACTAATAATGGAAAGTACTACATGCCTTTCATTCTCTAAAACTGACTAAAGCAATACGTTATATACCCAATATCCAAATAAAATAATTATCAACTCATGGCCTATTTTATTTCTTTTAAAATCAAAGGCTGTTTTGAAATAAATTCTAGACACCATATAATTTTAAATATCCAACACATACTCTAAACCTGAGGAATATATATATATATATATACACACACATATACATATATATGTATATATATTTTAAATATATACACACACAATATTATTATCCCACTCAAAAATTAATAATTCTTTTATATGTTAAATATCTAGTTGGTATTCAAATTTCCCTGATTCTCTTCTTTTTTAAAAAAATAATTTATTTGAATTAGGATCTAAATAAGGTCCACACATTGCAATTGGTTGATATGTCTCTGTCTTTTAAAAAGTTTTCCTCTAGTTGCTTTATTTTTAATTTTTTTTGAAGAAACCAGGTTACTTGTCCTGGTGAGTTTCCCACAGTCTAGATTTTGCTAACTGCATTCACGTGATGTGTCTTCTGTACTTCCTGTAAATTGGTGGACCCGGAGCAGGGGTCTGCATGCTCGTGGGTAAGATGGGGCCACACTTTGCTTTGTCTGTGGTTGCATTTAAGCCTCACTACAACAGAGACTATGTGACCAGCAAAGCCAGAAACATTCACTACTTGGCTCTTTGCAGGAAATTTCTTACCTCTGCTCTAGGGGCTAATCAGATTCAAATTTCTTCTTTTTTGTTAGGAATATTTCATTCAGGTGTTGGACCTGGTGCTGGAAGAAGGAAACAATGCCATTTTTCTTCCTTTCTTTTTTTTTCTTTGGTGACCTTAGCAGCTACTCATAATCATTGCTTAAGTGCATTGTTTTATTAGGGATTGCCCAATGGTGCTATTGTAAGTCTAATGTTCCCTCTGCATTAGTTGGAACACTTCTATAAAAAGTAAGTTTCCATAACCCATCACATGGTTATCCAGAGGTTCAATGTGTACAGCAAAGGCAGGATAAATGCTTGAGTTATTCCCTATATTGTTCTCACAACAATACGTTGGTTACCCAGCATTTTTAGAGTTAACCACAGGGATTTTTTTGTTTGTTTGTTTTCTTAATATAATTACAAACTTATGTTTTTAAACATATTTTAAGGGCCTCGATCCACTGAAATTGCATTATCCTTATTGATGTTCAAGAGGAGCCTCCTCAGGTTGGCTCCTGAACCTTTCGTATGACCTGTAGTCTCATTAGATTCGTTTCCTGGTTTGACAAGATATTCCCAGCTCATTTTGCCTATTTCTGTCCCAGGTGGAATCAGCCACTTTTCTAGGGGTCTCTGCTTCCTTTTAGAGGGAGACAGACTTTAGAGACCACAATCTGAGCATGCTCACCTAATAAACTCTAAATCAGCTCTGGGAATACTGGGCATTGCCAATGGGGAAAGTCCAAAATGCATTTGCATCACTCTCTGGACTATATCCAAATATTGAAGTTCAAATCATGAAAGATAGACTGTTTACTTATGAATTGCTTTGCCTCCCATGGCAATACCACCCAGGGGAGGCACACTGGATGATGAAAAGCTGCAGGAGTGAGCTGGGCATTGAAGTTGGGCTAGAATATCAAATGAAAAATCCTCATGCGAAGGCAGTGAGTCTTATCCTAAAAGTGGGATGCCAACAATGCAAGTGTCTGAAATGAACAACTGGCACACAGTATGACAAGGAAAGTCCCCTAATTTATCTCGGGGGGGGGGGGGGGGGCGGGTATGCCAACCAGCCCCTGCCCCCATCAAGCACTGAAAAGGCTTTGATATCCTTCTGGTCTCTGTGATTCTAGGATCCTCATTCTTAGTACCTAGAACCCTGTATTATTCTGCCTTTGGGCTAACTCTTCCTTCTAGAGGGGCTACAGGAGGTAGAGAAAAACAGTACATCAGATCATATGAGAATCATCAGATTCCCCAACAGTTTTTTTCATGACAGTTTTTCTTCTCAAAGAAATAAATGTGAAGGAAAGGTATTGGGCTGCCAAATTGAGACTTAGTGGCCTTAAGTAGGATTGACCTGCCCAGCAGCCATGCCAAATGTTTCTCACCAATATTCTTACCAACAGGCAAAGGTCTACTTCTTCAGGGTGTCTGGCAAGGGGCATTCTAGAGACCTTGGGGGTTGACCTGCAGAGATTAAGGCTGATCGGGAAAGTGACAGGAGTTAATGCACAAACAATTGAGGTTGAGCCTCAAATATGGTCCTGGAATGGCCAGAGGACTCTGGTCTCTCAGGCCTCTACAAACATCCCTGAGATACATTCACCCAACCCTGTCTTCATTTTCCAAACATCTTCCGCATTCTCTTAAGGCGGAAAGTTAGATGAACAAGCAAAAGTGAAGTGCATTTTGACACCCTGGGAAATGTACTGAGAGGTATCCGAATGAGTCAGCATCTTTAAAACTTCAGAGAAGAAACAGGAAATGCTAACTGATCAAAGTGACTGCAGCGTGGTGGTTTTAAATGTGCTCTTTCAGGTTACTGGGGAGAGGCTTAGAGACCTCAGAGTGTGTACTTGATCTATGATGCTAATTAATGTAGCCAAAAATGAACTTTAAAAGACTCAGGAAAGAAATGCTTAGCCATAGAGGTGTATGGCAACAATGTTTAAAAGGTTCCTCCAATGAAGAGGCATGCATTTTATTAAATATACTTGAACTGACATCCAAATGCCTTTTATCCACATTTATTTATTTATTTCTCTTTCTTTCTATTTAATTTATCTTTATTGTTGAGAGTATTACAGATGTCTCCCATCATTCATTCTTTTTTAAAAAAAATATATATATTTTTCTTGATTTCAGAGAGGATGGGAGAGGGAGAGAGATAGAAACCTCAATGATGAGAGAGAATCATTGATTGGCTGCCTCCTGCATGCTCCACATGCCTCCTGCACCCCCACATTGGGGATTGAGCCTGCAACCAGGGCATGTGCTTTGACCAGGAATCGAACCATGACCTCCTGGTTCATAGGTCAATGCTCAACCACTGAGCCATGCTGGTTGGGCTATCATTCATTCTTAAATCTCTATTTGGCTGAAGGAGGAAGGCTATGAGGAAGAAGGTAATTGGGGCTTTGTTAGTTGCCTTTTAAAATGCAAGTTTATGAGACATTTATTCTATTTTTCTCTAAGTGCCAGGGAAAATTAATCTAAGGTTCAAATCCCATTCTATCAACTAACCAAGAGATCCAGGGCAACTCACAATCCTTATCGGCCTCAGCTTTCTCTTGTACCATATTAGAAATCAATTTTCAAGGGTGGTCATGGGAGTTTCATAAGCACAAACAGAAAGATAGTCAACCCTAAGGTAATAACAAAAAAAAGATTTGGGTGTAAACATGTTCACTGTACAGTTATTTCTAGAAGCAAAATCATTACAATATTCTTTGCAATAAGTAAGTGTATAGCAATTATCGTTGCAACCTCAATTTCCAAGGGAAGGAACACTGTGGGTGATCTTTCACCAGCTTTGTGCACTTCTCCTCTAGCTTCTGGGTGCTTTGACACCAATAATTTGCACCTGTCACCTTAGGAGAATTGCTACTGGGAGTTGCAGCCCATTTTCTTAGTGGACTTTAGGTGCTGGGAGTTGACACATACCATTCCTCTACCCCAGAGGCCAACAGCCCCTGACTGACTACTGGTCCGGGAGTCTGAGAGCCCAGCTTCTTTGCCTCAAGGTGGCACAGAACTCTCCAGGATCAGGCTGAGTGTGGGCCTTCACCTGATATCCCCCCACTTGATTGGCTGATCCCCTTTCTAACACCACTTCTCCCACTCTCTTACTCTGTCACCTGGGAACTGTTCCTCAATGAATGGTTTGCACTTTATTCTTGGCTCAGCGATTCATCTGGGAGACCATGACCTCTGACATCCAACAGTAAGGATCAGTTCATGACATCCCTCTAACATAATATCATAAATATATAGTAATATATTCTGCATATATCTTAATTGAAAAGAAAACTATGCTATAATTAACTATGCAAAAATTCTACACAGGCACAAAAAAGACTAGAAATATGGATGTAAGATATTATCTCTATATTTAGTTCGGATGGTGGAAATATGAATATAATTTATTATTCTTTATACTGTTCTGGATGTTTTACAAAATATATACAATGAACACATTACTTAAAACAAGCAGCCCTTTTCTGGTTATAAAAACACAGCAGCAGGAACTCAGATCAGCTGAAATGTGTAGCAAGGAGGAGCAGAAAAGGCTACAATAAGATATCTCTATATTTAGTTCGGATGGTGGAAATATGAATATAATTTATTATTCTTTATACTGTTCTGGATGTTTTACAAAATATATACAATGAACACATTACTTAAAACAAGCAGCCCTTTTCTGGTTATAAAAACACAGCAGCAGGAACTCAGATCAGCTGAAATGTGTAGCAAGGAGGAGCAGAAAAGGCTACAGAGCACAAGAACCGTGGTTCAATAACAGAATCATAAAAACTGGAATAAAAAGTGCAGTTGCTGGAAAAACAGAGAGTTGAGAAATAATATAGTGAGAGCCCTTTATATACAGTAAAATGAATGTTACACCCCTTACAACCCACAGACCACTCTACATTGAGTTTTTTTCAATAAGTGGTGGTTCTATTTTGATGCACATGACTGGAACCATTCATGTGACTACATCTACACACTAGATGTTTAATGGCAAGGATTATAGTTTATTCATTTTTTTTAATGCCCTGATTTTAGCAGAGTATCTGGTATGTAGTAGAAACTCAATAATGTTTATGAAATAAATTGTAGTTCAGTGGAAATGAACTGATTTCATTCTTATTTTAAGCAGCAGCAATTTTTATTGCTAACTTAAAAAATCCCAACTTGCTTAAAACTTGTGGAATGCATTCTCAAGTACTCAAAATTAATGGCCACCGTTTATGGAATGTCTACCATGTGCCAGACCCTGTACCTGGAGCTTTATATATTCAACATCTAACTGAACCCTCGACTTAAGATGTAGGCATGAGTATTTAGATGCTATAGATGTTGAAAACAGAGGTCCGGAAAAATTAAATAACCTGCCCGGGCCATACAGATCGTACAAGGTGAAGAGATGTCTGAATGGACTCTTAGCTGGTATGTCACACTGCTTCTTGTGATGGAGTTTAAAGGGTTGACCGAGGCAGAAGTGAGGAAACACTGCCTTCTTTCTACCTCTCTGTCCTGTGCTTACATCATCAGTGTCTCGGAGTAAACAAGTGACCACAGCTTTACAAGGAACAAGAATGGAACAGAATGTTTGTTACTCCAGTGCAGTGGTTTTCAGCTCGGAGGGGGTTCCACGGCCCCGGGGGGCATTTGGCGATGTCTGCGGACGTTTTGGTTGTCATACCTGGGAGGGAGTGCCACTGGCATCCGTGGGTTGAGGTCAGGGTTGCTGCTGAACATCCCACAATGCACAAGACAGCTCCTCGCCACGGGAAATCATCTGGCCCAAAACGTCCGTCAGTGCCAAGTGCCAAGGATGAGAAACCCCGCTGGCCCACAGGAAGGTGCACATTCCAACTCTCCCCGAAGGTGGCACACGGAGGTCCCGCGGACTTTCCTTACTTTAGAATCCAGGCTCCAGTCTGAAGTCACACACTGCTTCTTGTCAAAGCAGCTACTGCATTGATGCCAATTGTCACCGTGGCTCCCCCTGGAATTTCCACCCAAGGCTTCTCTATGTGGGAGAGGAAGGAATCCAGCCCATTCCCCTTAGTGGCTCCCAGAAGGGAGGGGTTAGTGACCAGTAATGAAAGCTCTGAGCGTCAGCCCCCCTTATCAAATCAGGCTCCTGGACAGCCTGTTGGAAGAGGTGGGGATGCCTGTGATACCCGGAGCTTCCTGTGCGGAGCATCAGGGCGGGTGTTTGTCCACACCAGGCCCCTCATCAGACAGCTGTTCCTCGCAGGAGGAAGCCTAGCCCAGCCTCCGGAGGCTGCGGATCCTCCTGCACCGCTGACATCCTTCCCATAAAGCAGCAGCAGCAGCAGGGAACGGCTAACATAACCAGTCATCACCTCCTGTGGGCCCCCGCTCCCCTCCCGCCGCCTGGTTGCTCTCCCAGCCCCACCATGGCCTTTGTTTTTGTTTTCTGAACCAAAGCTAGCTTTATCACTCAGGTTCAGGGAATAGAAATGCCAGGTATAAAGAGAAAAACCCCAGACATGCTCATATACCCTCCATTATTCTTACGTCCATTGTACTTACTCCCTGGGAACTTACTGAACTAATTAGTTAAGCAAAACTGAGCCCCAACTCCTACTTTCCTCCCTTCCCTGGTGAAAAGAGGGCAGGGCCCAGCGACAGAGGAAGGACACTCAGCAGGTGAAGGTTGAACTGGGTCTCCAATATCACCCTGTGCCAAATTATCTCCAAAATGCCACCTGCGGAGGTCCCCTTCTGCCTGCTGCGATGCCCTCCTTTTCTCAGAAGGAGAGCTGGGAGTCGGTGGGAGCCTGTGCATGACGGAGGTTCTTCCTCTAGGTGGGGAGGGCCCTTGCTTGGCAGTTAAGGGGAGGATGTGGGCTTTATCAGGCAGGAACTCCAGACTCAGGGAGCCACCCCCATCGGCCAGGCAGAAGAAGGTCGAGGGCACCAATATTCTACTGTGTCGACAGGGACCAGCATTTCTAGGGCTGAATTCACAATTAAACTCACTTGGTTCTTTTGAAATCGGGGTGCTATTTCCAAGGCTGCCATGTGAAACACTGCTAGGTGGTAGGTATAGTTTGCCCATTTATCTATTTCACAAATCCTAGTGGAGCACCCATGGGTCAGGCACAGTGCTGAGGTGGGAGCGTGCACAAAAGTGGACCCTGCCCCACACTCCTGGAGCTGATGGTCTAGAGCCTGGCTTCTCATCAGGGCAGGTTCGTCCCTCAGGGAACATTTGGCAACATCTGGAGACATTTTGGGTTGTCACAACTGGTGGGGAGGATGTTACTGTCTAGTGAGCAGAGACCCGGGATACTGCTCAACATCCTGCAAGGCCCAGGAGAACGCGGCCCAGCAAGGACGGTCTGCTCCACAACATCAACAGGGCTGAGGGGGACACTGGAGGAGGGCCACGCAGGTGGACATGGAGGGTGAGCTGGATATGACTGGACAAAGGGGCAGAGGAATGGGGACAGGGCCCAGTGTCCCAGACGGAAGCCTGGAAACAGATTCTGGAAATGTGTTCATTTTAACACTATACCACCTTATAGTCTTTCTAAGACAAGGTCCACTCTGTCTGGGGACAAACAGCGCATCGTGACAGAGTCCAAACGAGACAGAAGCTGAAGAATCATTCACACTCATGTCCACCCTGCCCCGCGGCTTCTTCCTCAACCACCAGGCACCGCACGCTAGAAGAGGCAGGAAGTGAAACCCTACTTTTACTAGCTTAGTCATGATACTAAAAGCATGACCCAAAAAAGGAAAGACTGGTAAGTCAGACCTCATCAAAATTACAAATATTTGCTCCACAAAAGACTCTGCACAGATGATGAAAAGGCAAGCTGCAGGCTAGGAGAAAATATTGCCGCCCACCTATCTCACAAAGACTAGTACCTAGAAAATACAAAGGACTCTCACAATGCAACAGTAAACAGAAAACAGCAATCCAATCAGAAAATGGTCCAAAGACACGGACTGACAGTTCACTGAAGAGGATACACAGATGGCAAATAAGCCCATGAAAAGATGTTCAACATCATTCGCCATTAGGGAAGTGCAAATTAAAACCACTACACACCCATCAGAATGGCTAAAATAAAAACTAATGGTAACACCAAATGCTGGAGAAGATGCAGAGAAATTGGATACCACACATTGCTGGTGGGACTGTAGAATGGTGTAGCCACTCTGCAAAAACAGTTTGGCAGTTCCTTACAAATCTAAACACGCTTTTAACCATATGATCTAGCAATCTTGGACATCTTTCTCAGAGAAACAAAAACTCATGTTCACACAAAATCTATATACCAATGTTCATAGCAGCTTTATTCGCAATAGCCCCAAACTGGAAAATATCCAGATGTCCTTCAATAGGCAAATGGTTAAACAAATCATGACACATTCACACCATGGACCACTACCCAGCAATAAGAAGGAATGGACTACGGATACACACAGCAACTTGGATGGATCTAAAGGCAATTATACTGAGTGAAAAAAAAGTCAATTCCAAAAGGTTACATACTATGATTCAATGTATAAATAGTCTT